TGAAGACTGGTCACTCAGTTCAAATCTTTTATTCTAAAGGATTTCCAGAAGCCAATGCTGTCATGACCCCTCTCATACCAGGTGGGAGGTGGCAGCATTTACCGCAACCAAGGTTGAAAACCATGACACAAAATCCCTGAGCTGTTCAAGATCACCTCATAGCTGAACCTTTCCACACTGTAGTTTCTCTACTTCCCTTGTTTGTCTGTGCCACGTTGGTGTAAATCACCATAATCCTGGTTTAATAATTTGTAATAATTCTGATGCAAAAAAGGGCAGTGCTGCCTAGTGGATAGGTGATGAAATTAGTACTAAGAAAATAAGAGATCTCTAATATGACTGATTTGTGGGGTGATTATGGTCAGATTGCCATTTTCTGCCTCAGTTTTCTCTTTCTGTGAATTGGAGGCAATTTGTTCACTTTGTGTTTGCCCGGCGTGGATATGAATGGTGGTCTGTGATGTAAATAAGGTGGCTTCTGGTTTTTCATTTTTAATCTCTATTTTTAACCCTCTATTTTTAATTGTACTTTGTGCCATCATTTTCACTCTGCATTTTTCATACAAGACTAAATGGGAGAGGACTCTCTCCTTGATGGTAGCTCACCTGCAGTAGCCAAGATACAATGTTGACAGAAAAAGCAGGGAGGTGAAGTTCCAGACTGCTCATTTTGGCAGATGACAGCAGAAACAAATGTCTCACTTTTGCCCTACTATTTACTCAAGCAGAAAACAAAACAATAGAGATGGGAAAAGATCTGAAAGAGCTGTCACAGAACAAGTGCACCATGCCAATAATTTGAAGGATTAAGGACCCCAAGCTGTATGTCCTGACACAATAGCTAGGGCCATCCTGTTCACTGGGTTCATGGATTAGAGGGATGTTTCATATGATTCTGGTTTTCTTTTCAACTCTGGTTGAACAAACATAGCCTGTGTGCTTGCAAATCCCTTGTTAGCAATGCAAAAGGTCAATACAATTTCCCTTTCACTACACTCTATGATTTTGCCTTTGGAAAATGTTGCAGTTGGTCTGTCTGGATGCCTTCACAGAATCAGCATGACTTTGTGTCTGGTTTAAATGGTGCGATGAAGAATGGTGGGAAGCCCAGAGAAGGGGCCTGGAGTCAGTATACCTGCACTAAGTTGGAGACACTGGGACACTGACCTGAGACACACTTGATTTTCTTGTTTAAGCTGCTGTCTTATGAAGTAGGATAGTTCAAATGGGAAGTGCACTTTTGTTCAGGCTATGGCTATGGAAACGGCAGGATTTGGGATCAGTGATGTCACAGATTTTATTTTAAAGGCTTCTCTGTTTTACAAATAAAAAGATGATGGTGCTTTAGTGCTGTGAAAAGAAAGTTTATCTTGGCTTGAGTCAAGCAGGGATTTTTCTTCTTTTCACATCACTGCCAGCAGGCTGTTAAGAAGCTGTCCCATCCAGTTCCTGTGTCATCTCAGGTAGGGGATTGCCATTCCAGCACTAAATATGTGCCTCCTTTAACATAATTTAGAGGCACAATTTAGGAATTTCATGGTCAATGAGATAAATTCTTGTCATCAGCAAAGATGATCACAAAAGTCCCACAAACTTCAGTGAGGAGTATTTGGGCCTGCGTACTTATCTTATGAACATTTGTCATTAAGAATCTAAAAAAGTTTGTGGAGTACAGAAAAATTTCATGAGAGGTATCACAGCTCCTGGGATGGTATGTGGACTCAAATACTCCCTGTCTAATGAAGGGTCACTTCTCTTTCAACCTCACAGCTCAAAATTTCCATGGGAAGGGATGGGGGTGGAGAGCAAATGTGCAGTGTAGCCAAAGTCTTAGTACTAAGAAGGATTCAGATATATGTTTGAGTGCTTTTTGTCTGTGTTCCCCATAATCCATTTATCTCTGTTTTCTCATACCAGTTTTTAGCCATTACATTTATCTTTTTTCAGTGAGGATACTTAGATTAGCATTAAAATTCCAATGCACCTGGGTCATGTCAGAGTTTTAAGTGTGATGCAGTCTTTGTATGTGCACACAGGACAAGGCCCTTGGAGGGAGAGATGCCTGTCACTTGACAATACTGTGAAGGCTGTTAGTTGCTCTTATGGGCCTCTACCTGAAGTGTCAGCACTGCTAGTTTTCCTTCTGGTACTTGTCCCTGAGAGACAATGTTCAAGAAAAAAATGGGATTCAGTCCTTGCTCTGGGGCAGTTTGCCTAGGGTGCAGTAGCAGTGGGGGATATTCATTCAACCTGAGATGTCTCTGCATTGGATTCAAAGCATGAACTTTGATGAAAGACTTGCTCCCTCTGGTAACATAGCTCTTTGCAAGAAGGGCTGAGTTCACTTCCTCGTGAAGCCATTGGCCCTACTACACACTTTAGGCTCTTGTGTTCACGTGTCATCTTAGACTGACTGCTGTTATCAGTTTGGCTGCTAGTAAGATAACAGTCCATTACATGCTTTTTTTAATACAGCCTGGACACAAGCAGGAAGGCAGACTTCCTGCTTTTGAGAGGAGCAGGAAGATGGGGCATTTCAGGAGACAAATGTTTGGTATTTACAAAATGCAGATGGGCAGCTGTCAAGTCACCTGCTGACAGCAGTGAGGTACAAAGCCCTCTCCTGTTTCAGAGGAAATGCTTGTTTCTCACAGATAGCCCAAGTAAGGTTTAAAGGGTTTTTATCTGCCTCAGCTACATGTGGCAGACTTGGGTTTTGAGCGTATTTTGAAAAGTATGTGCTCTTATTTAGGTGAATTTTCAGAAATGTTCAAAAGCTTTTGAAAACTGGATCTATGTAAATGTGCTTTCACTTAAAATCGTTTCTCCATGGTTTGACTTGCAATTGCCTGCTGATCTGGGTGGGACTAGTGTGGTGACCATGCTAGTGCTGAGGTTTTGACAGACCTGACTCCTCTGTTGCCAGCAGAAAAGACCTACATTTCTGCATTCCTTGTAATCTTGTCAACACATTTTTACTGTTTCATAGTGTCCATAAGCAACTGTATAAGGATAGTGGGAGTGGTATTTCAACAGCGCAGATAAAAAATACAGTCCAGAACTTCTTGTATTGAGAAGCACTAATGCATTAGAGAGGCAAAACCAGGTTTACTTTGTGCTGCTGGTAGATTTCTCTGAAGAATGAACCTATGCTGCTAAGCAGCTTTCTGCCTTCCCCACATAAAAACCTGGAACAGAATAGCTCTTCTAGATTGGTGGCGTGACATTCCTGGGTTCAGAGATGAACCAGTGAGTCCCCAGGCTAATAAAAGGTACTTGAACTGGCTTTTAGAAGCATTGTTTCAGGAGCAGAGACAGGCAAACAATGCTTGCAGACCCTCAACAGATCAGGAGAGAACAAGGTTACAGTGTTTAACTGTCTGTCTACCTACATTGCTCCTGGCTTCTGCCTCTGTTGCATGGAGATGTATGTATAGACTTGCATACATTTGGCATTTCAGTAAACTTCTAAATTAAAAAAGAGCATTTCAGCTATTAGGTCAATCCCAGGCCTTGTTTTCAATTATTCTCACAGATGGCTATTCTTATGATGGGATGTTTTTGGGGTGGGAATACCAATGAATAAAATGTCTTTTTTTTTTTTTTTTTTTTCCTTCTTGATGCTATTAAGCCTGGCTAACATGAGGTTTTGTGCCTAAATGGGTTCAATGGCTTGGCAGGATGCCACAAATTCTATCACCCTTCTCTCCATCGGATGAAAGAGAAACAGACATCTATTTTCACTAGCTGGATCACTATCTGGGTTTCAGATTTGAGATTTCCCGGCTGTCCATTCTGCTCTGAGATGATGGTGACGTTCCTCTCTCCTGGGGATTTCAAGAAACAGAGGACTGCTCAGGATCATCACTGCAAACTTCCTGTCCCCATCTGGAAGGCAGCTAGCCTGCCTTTTGTATTTATTCATCTCTCTGAAATGAAGGAGATTACTCCAGCTGCCCTTGAGAGGTTAGTGTGCTTTTAGAGGGAACAAAGTTTGGGGTTTAACTTCCTTTGTGTCCTCTGGCCATTGAAAACAAAACGCGTTTGATTTTTTTCTCAAACAAATTTACAGATTGAGATCTAATTAATTTATTTTGGCAATTGGTTTGAATTATTTGGTGATGTTTTGATTCATGCATAGTATTCAAGAAAAGACAGACCACATTCTTATGGCTGTCAGTATATTAAAATCAACAGGAACTTTGAAGGTGAAAAAGAAAGAGAAACACAATGATAACATCTGAATATTAAAAAGGTCCACATGATGTGCCATGTTAGCCTGAGAAGGATGAAATTCCCTGCGTGTCCACGGTGTTTCTTCCTTACACAGAGGCAGCACAGTCAGGCCATCTGTGGATCGGTACCTTCACGTGTTTTGTCTGTATGCTCTTGAGTCTGGACTGCCTTTCCTCCACTTTTGTGAAGTACCCAAGCTGATCTGGGAGTTGTGCACTAAGCATTCATGAAACCAAAATAGTAATACTAATAGTAATATTAATCCAGTGGAAAGCAGTGTGAATGAGACAGGGATTTTCCCTCTCCTCTACTTGATCTTTTTTCCCCAGATGGAGCATTTAGTGATTTACCAGAGACCTCTTCCCCCTTCCTTCGTCTCTTCCTGCCCATTCTTCAGTGACTTGTGTTACACGCAATCGAGACACCGATGGCTGCAGTGAGCGCCCCTTGCTCAGCCGTGTGCCCACCCGCACCGGGGCACGGCTTCCCCCGCGCTCACTCCTCGGCCAGTTCCACCCCCAGGGGCCAGCGGCGCCCGACACGCGCAACAGGTCGGGCAGGGCCCTCGGCGCCCCCGTTCCCGGGCTGCTCCCGCCTTCCTCCGCTCCGGCCTGGGCTGGCTTTCCCGGCCGGGAAGCGCAGGCCCTCTTTGCTGCTGTTCCCGGCAGGGGCTCGCTCCGTGCCGGCGCCGAGCGGGTGGTTCCCGCGCCGCTGCCGCCGGGCGGGGGGCGGTGCCCAGCGCGGCCGCCGCCTGCCGGGGAGCTGCCGCTCGGCTCGGCGCGGCTGCGGCGTCCCGTGCGGGCGGGCTCGGAGGCTGCCGTGCCGCTCCGAGGTAAGCTCCTCTGCGCGGGCAACTTGGCGGGTCGGCCGGGGCTTTCGTAGCTGTGGCGACTGGTCATTGCCCTCCGTCTGCAATGGAAATCGCCTTGGCTCCATTTTATTCTTGAGATTATTTATACCCATAAGGACTAGTCGTTCTTTAAAGGGCCGTCATGCTGTGGGATATTAGCGCCTGTTTTTCCTAGTATCCAGAGATGGTGTCGATGGTACACCACAATTTTTTTCGAGCCTTTATTCAAGCCTTATTATTTGCAGGTAGAATAGATTGCAGATGCAGAGAAGTAGGTTTGGGATCGAGCTTCTCGTGCTTGTAAATAGAAGTGCTGTATTTCTGTTAGGGGGAAGGGGGAGCAGATTACAACATTGCTTTTAAAATGAGAGGGAATGCGCACGGGCATTTTTTTGTATATCTTCGGACTCAGCAAACTGAGTGAATCTGGTGCGGGCAGTGTGTGTCTACTCGTCCCGAGAGGGCTAAAGCCAGGATGTATGCATTATGGTTGTTCATTCATCAGCGGCTGCAGATAATGCAATTACCAAGTCAGCGGCGCATGGATGCTGCCCTGCGTGCGACATGCTGAGAATACTGTACTTTAGGAAGCCAGCACTTGCTGTAGTTTGGATAAAAACAGAAGCTAGGAATGGCAGGGTATGAAACTGTTGTGTCTTTGAGTGGAAAAGAGGCTACTGGTTGGTCTCACTCTGTTGTTTCTGAAGATTTGTATTTTGTGTGCTTCTCTGCAGAGGTGTAAATACCTTTTGCAAGCAGTTCATAAGGAATTCAGGAGTGAAAAATAATTGGCAACAGCTTCAGGTGTCACCAGTGCCTCATGAATGGTAGGTGGTTTAAATGTCTGAGAATATGCAGTAGTTTTTTGTCAAATCCTATCAGAGAAAGGGCTTCATTTAGCTCTCAGTTTTTTATTTACAGATCAGATTCTGCAGCTGGGGTATGGCTACCTCACTCCTGAGGTGTATTGGAAGGGAAGGAGAAAAAAAATCACCAGCATGATTGCCATGGACACAACAATTCCTTATTTATTTATTAGGCTATTAGGGTAATGAAGAAAAGCCATGCCTGCCCTGCTGTGCGGATCCCATTTCAGCAAAACTGCCTGGGCTCCTGCTGTTACCCTTGTTTGATTTTTAACCAGTAAGTGGCCTACACTCGTGTCAGTGCCGTGGTTGTCGCTCCTTTGTGTATGGGTTCAATAAAGGAGCTCCCAAATCAAGGGCACCTGAGTGGAATCCAGATGGTTGATAGTGGGATTTGTTCTAAGTAGAATCTTTTCTTCACTCTTCTGCCCAAAGATCAGTGTTTCCTTAGTTGTAGTTGTTGCTTTTATATTCTGCATGGTATTGCTATTGCTGCTGCTGCTTTGGGTAAATATTTGGTATATTAGTATTTCATTTTATTGATTATGCCACTTGAAGATGATTTTCTCTTGTATGTCTTGATACCTTGTCATAAAAATACATCTGTCCCAAATGCTTCTCTCTCTAAGACATCAGACAAGGCAAGGGCTGGTTTAACTTGCACAAGGTTAGTGACTGATTGGTACCTCTTGGCTTCTAAAGGCTGGACCACATTGGTTCTGCTGCATGGGTAGGCATACCAAAAACATGTATATATCACATTTGAATGTCTCTAATGAATCCCATTTCTTTTTCTTTTGCACTCCCCTTTTCTTCTGTAGGCATACTTATTATCTTTAAATACAAATAGTTATTTTTAACGATAATCCTGTTCTGTAAAGCCAATATAGATTCATAATGATATATATAAGGTAGTGATATAAGTAGTGATAGAGTTAAAACACAGCAGGTGTGCCTTTTTTTGGAATACATCAGATATTTTGTAAACAGACAGAGAAACACATATACACACAAGCTCACACCTAAGGTGTTTAGAAGAAGAAAGAAACAGTGCCTAGTAAATGTCACATGCCCAGGAGGCTAATCTAAAAGTCAGGAAGCTAAGAATTGTGTGCTCCATGTGAGTATTATTAGCAGCTTCCTTTTTCTTTGATACATAAGCAATTCAAAGGGTGCAAATGTAAGGGTTCCTCCAAAGGAAGGTCATGTGATAAACAGGTCTCTTCTTGTGTTTTCTGTTTGTAGGGGAGGGAAAATATTTGGAGTAGGGGGAAAGGAGAACTCGGAGAAACTTTAAAGCATTCTGCAAATGTTGAATTACAAGTTTACTGCTTTTGCACAGGTTGAATCTGGGGGAAAACCAGGAATGTTAAACCTTTGTGAAAATTACACATTGTGTTTTGAAGAGTGTGCTGTGTATGTGGGTGCAGTGTGTGTGCACACATGGGTCACTATTGAGGCATGGCAGCAGATGTTCACAGAATTTACACGTACTGTTGTGTTACTGTATACAACGTGCTAATTAATTAATTGATGAACCTACTACAGACTGCTTTGTCACAATGGTGTTCTGCAGTAGAGAGCTACACTGGTTCATCTCTGTTCCTCCACGTTTCTTTGGTGTTATTTTTCAGTTTTTTGTATCTTGACTTTGGTAAACGCCCCTTTGGTCTTATGACAACACAGTGCAGATGGGGAGACCACAATAGTGCCTTTGCTGGTTCTGTTTGCTTTAAGTAAAAACTATAATATATATCTCCTAAGATGGATGAACAATTGTGGTGTTTTCTCTCTCTGCTGAGTCCTTTGCAAGTAGCCACAGGGGTTCTGTTGGTCTGATTCTGAAGTCTTCAATCTCTTCCATAATCCCATTATCTGCTGTGGTGCTATATATGTGAATGAGCATTAAGGAATTAGGTTGTACAGTGTGTGTTGTTTGTGGTGCAGGTGCAAGTTAAGACAGGGTCAGCACTTTCATTGATTAGTGTAATTTATATTAGAGCAGAGACTACCTATAGGATTAATGAAACTGCTGTGCCTTTAAGAACAGACAAGTTTTCAGCTGAGAAGCTTGCCTTTTTGTTTTGTTTTTTTTTTTTGGTGTGTGTGTGAGATATTTGATTTGGATTTATTCAGCATTGGGAAATGCGCTGGCAGCATGGATAAAGTTCAGTGTTCTTTGAAAATTGTTTTTACTTCAGACCTTTGAAGTTCTCAGTCATGGGTAGGTTGTTTTAGTCTTTACTCTTATTGTGTAAAAGACTATGCTAGGGCTTTTACTTGCTGCTTAGGGTCTCTGAAGTAGGAATATAAAAGCCTGGGTTTTCAACAATGTTGGATACCAAGATGCTTTCCTTCACTTTTTCCTTTTACATGGGTGACAGATGCTTAGTCTGTATACCTAAATAAGGCTTTATGAACCTGACCTTAGGCTTTAGTATGATTTCAGCCTCCTTTGCAGACTGTTTTGTGACCCTTCTGCTTGTTACAGTATGAGCAGGTTTTGGGCTCAGTATTTGCATCAGTTGTAGGACAGGCTTTGGGAAGTGATGCTGTCAGGTCTTCACACTCAGCCAAGAGAATGCTTACCCAAGCATGACAGTAAAGGCAAGTGTGCTACTGTAGGTGTCTTTCAAAGAAGGTGTCATTCTGATGCCATACGTGCTTGGGTTCCCAGCACTTGTGAATTCTTTTTGCATGAAAATTGATCCATGCTCAACTGCTTGGGCAGTGGTGGTCAGACACTTTGTGATAACTCTGCCAACTAGATACAGTCATGCCTCACTCTCATTAGGGTTGCTAAAACAGGCACTATGTGCTATCACAGACAGAAATACTATTTAAATACTGGGAGAAATAGCACTTCTGTATATCCTTTTTCGTGGCTTCACTAAGATATAATGAAGCATGATTAAGTAATTTTGGATTCTTGCATCATGGATGCAGTTCTTTGGAATGTGTTTAGGAAAACAAATACTATTAGATGAGAATAATGAGGTAGAAAAACTGGTTTGTGATGTACTTCTCAGATCAGACACTTTGTATTGGAATTTGGGTGTGTAAATGCCCATGTGTCAGTTGGTATTTTATTCTTTCTCACTTTCTTTATATCTTGACATCTATCTAATGCATACACTGTAAGCCTGGGTATTTGGATTTCTTACCTATTCAGAGTAAGAGGAGATGATCTAGATTGATTTTTGAGCAAGTTGCTTCCATATCCTGTGTGAAGTCTCTCTAGCCACAGAATTACAGTGTAGCACTAAATCTGTTTTTTATCTACAAATGTGAGCATAGCAGGCAACTCTGCTACCAGTTTCCAGTTGAAGGAAATGAGATGTGGAGAGGTAAAGCAATTTCTAAAAAAAATTATCTTTTATATCCATAGCCAATCTTGTAACAGTTTATTGATGTTTTCCCTCTTCATGAACAATAAAACCTTTGAAGTGAGTGACCTTATCTTAGAAAGCAAACTGTTGCTAAAATTATTCTTTGCTAGGAAAACTTCTGAAATAACTGTACTTCCTCTTACACTGAGAAGTAAGAGAAGAGTGTTTGGTGCTGTAACAGCTGGGAGTTTTCAATGCCTCCATCAAAATGGGTAGACAGGAAATGGCAGCATGCAGGAAAATGTAGTTTGTCTACAGAATTGATTTATAGCTATAATGGTCTTTCAAAGAATCAATTATTTGCACATAATCACAATATGAATGAAATCTGCCCCAAGACCAGAAGGCTATTCTGGTTTTGAATAAACACTGCAACCCTCATTCACAAAAGTAACAGAAGTTATCTTTTTCTTAGAGCAGAATGAACATAATTAGAATGAAGGTGACTGTTTGGAAAAGGAGACTGATATCAGAATATGAGTTCATTTTCCTTTTTTTCTGTGTCTGTATCGATCCTATAATTTAAGAGTCAGAAGTAGTGGTTGATGAGTTATTATGATGAGTTTTGTGAATTTGCTACCACTTTACAGTGTCTGCAGTGTTGCCATTACAAGAGACATACCAGTGGTGCCAGGAAGGCCAAGTCTAATGGTCCTTGGAGTCAAATACCTTTTTATAATCACAGGCATGGTTTTTCCAAGTTAGGCAAGGTGAGTTAGGCATGTGA